CGTCAGCATTCATGTACGTAGTTTGTAGGATTAAGAAGATAGATGAATGCGATGTAGGAATCACCTCCCAAAACGATATGAGCCCCACAAGAGTGATATACCGCCTATCAATCAAAGATCGAACCATGCCCGTGTTTGGCTGCACCGTCCAAATCTCATGAAAGTCTTGTAGCTTGCGACAGCCCCCAAAAGCAATAGCACCTCGCAAGTTATATATGGCACAGGATTATGCGCGGAGTTTCGACGAACACTCATACGGGGGTTCGGGAGGGTTTGAATCAGGGTATCCCCGATGGGCCCATGTAGCTGCATTGTCTATACTTGGGCCCCACAGTTGGTATAATATGCAAAACCTTTTGGGCCCCAAGTATATATGATAGTTTCCCAAAACTATGGTAACCAATATAGACCCCCAATATATTATAGTCCTTATCACAGGGACCAATGTTGCGGGAACTCCCATATTTGATTCCTACATGGACCCTCTGGATCTTTTCACCCTTCCCGCTGGCCCAAGGATTGACCAGAATTTTGGGTTACCCACCCTTTGGAACCCAAAGGGTCGATGTAGGAATATGGTACTAGACTTCTTCCTTTAGACCCAACGCTAAACCCAAAGGGTCTATGTAGGAATATATAGTATACATAGGGTTGTTTTGGGTTTTGGGCTTATGGTTTAGGGTTTAGTGTTTGGAGTAGGAAGTATAATACATACCGATAGGACCCTAAGGTTTCCCATATACCTACTTTGGGGCCCAAGTATAGATAATGTAGTTGCATGGACCCTTCGGAGAAGAAACCGCGTAGTATCAAGCTATACCAGAGCAGAAGCACCATTCTTACGTTGAGGTGGCAAGGGATGTACCGGGGACTGAAACCTGGATACCAGGTCTCCATTTCCGCCAGGCACCATCCCAGACTCCCTGCCCATACCAAGCGCATATAGATTTCAATAACCCTGGGGCTCCATGTTTATAAATAGTGCCTACATAGGAGCCCAGAGTCTATAAATAGTACCTACATTGGGCCATTTGGAGGCCTAGGGTACAAACGCATAGCTTGTGCCAGGTCGTCTACGACTATGTGCGGCGAGTCTCACAGGCCGGCAGATTTCTTGGACGAAGTAGTCGGAGTGGAAGGGTGTAGATTCTTGCAATATGTGTACTACGCAAGCTGGGTATAAAGCGGGTTTTTGGAAATGATGGTAACAATACTGCTAAGTCAGATGACTGCTTGGTAGCGCCCAAGATGCCATCATGTTTCAGAGGCACATGCACACATCAGGATGCAGAGTTGCTTGGACATTCTAACATCATGCCTCAACGCCAAACCTTTACAATCCGGATCAGGAGACGCTCCAGCTATAACTAGGCTGTAGACCCATGGTCCCATACACGTTTTAGTAATTTCCGGATTTTCTGAACTCTTGTTCTCTGCAGCAGTCTGCAACATGTAGGCTAGCGAGTCCAAATCTGGAGCTAGCTGCTGACAACCTTGCTGTAACCTCGCTCTAAGAGTAGAATCATAGGGCTCACTTGCAACGTGCAGTTGAACAATTCTGAAGCCCAAACTACCCGAAGCCCTGAATCGCATCTTGGCTCTGGTCTGCCATCAGCCGTGTTTTTGCAGGTTGAAACTTTAACCCCGAAACACCATAATAGCTCCTATAGAACTTCCGTATATGCCTTTTCGTCTCCATATAGCCCCAGACTTACCCCAACCCCTGAAACCTCAAGCAGAATTACAAAAACCTCAAATCCTAGATTTATTCCTTTAGCCTCAACCCTAAACCCAAAGGGTCTATGTAGGAATCTATAGTATAGGGTGGTCTGGGGTTTGGGGCTTCGGGTTAAGGGTTTAAGGCTTAGAGTTGGAATATAGTCTCCCAAAGTGTTTTCCAGATACTTACTTTGGGACCCAGGTATAGACTTTAGAACTACATGGACCCTTATGGAAGCGCATCACGTAGCCCTACTGCCTCTCGCGCACAACGCTAGACTCTGACCCTAAACCCTAACCCTGAACCCTACCCTAAAACCCTAAACCCTGACCCTTACCCTCGTCTGGTGCTTAGTCTCGGTCTCCTCCCCCTAGAATGATGCCCCACCCCGAAACAACAAATCTTTCCCCCCTACACATGGGTACTACGTGGGATATATATAGTTTTAGGGTTCAGGGTTTAGGGTTGGGCGGGATGCTGGGAGGGAACGGCAAATCATAACTTCAGGGTTCGGGGCATCCACAACCCAACTATAGTTTTGTTATCCGAATCCTTTCGTAAGCCTCTCAAGCCCCCTAATTAATACATAAGGGTATAATGGTGCAATTAGTACCATGTTATAGTCGGGTTATAATAACCCTGCATCCGAAACCATGAACCCTAGATGAGCCCTAAATCAATTGTGGTTATACTAGCCCTGAACCCTAAACCTGTATGTAGGGAAGGGGATTACTGAAGCCTCTGTGCGCCTGCACCATGGCGACATGTCTGGTCCGTTTCGCGACTTTCTGTTGCGCCACTTGCTTCCACTCAAGGGTTAAAGGTCTAGGCACTGGCTTAAGGGTTCAGGGCTTTGTTCTGACTTTAGGGTTTGTCAGGTTATGAAAATGTTGTAAACTCGCCAGAATTTAACACATGTGTATTTTTTGGAGAGTTTGGGGTGGCTGGTTGTTGTGCTTCAGCTGGACGAGCAGCAGTTCAAGAGCTGATATTTCTGATTTTTTTGACCCACATGACCACACACATTCTCATAGCTCAACCAAAAAAACCTTGAGGTTTCACAGTGTGAGTGTAAGTCTGGCAAGCGGGGTGACTGTTAGGTCCTGGGTGAGGGGTTTGGTCTGAACTCGGGATTCCGACTTCAAAGGCCGAATGCTGATCGGATTGGATGGTGGAGTGGAGAAGGCAGTGGTACTCTAGGTCCCAACCCACTGCCACAAGGGATACCGGTGATGAGATTTAGGCTCCCAAACAGACTCAGCATACTATGTGAGTTTATGGGACAGTTGAGGTACTCCATAGACGCTGCCGCGAGGAGTCAGTCATGACAACAAGAAGCGCTCTGTGTTCGTATGCCGGCCCGTAGCATCGACCACGCATATACTGGCCCTTAGGCTCTTCAGTCCAAGCTTCCCTCCGTGCAACTACTTAGTGGCAACTAGAGCACCATACCTAGACATCCAGACTTTCAAGAATTAAAGCTTGTGCCTACACGTTAAAGCCCCAAATCCTCGACGCGGAACCCTGAACACTCACTGCGCACTAGCCCAGAACCTGAACCCTCAACCCTACACCCCAGATTCTAATCCCTAAGCCCTTAGCCCTAAACTCTACACTCAAACCCTCAATCCTAAAGCAGAACGGAGACGCTAGGCTTCTTCGGCGCCGCGACGCCGAAGCCCTCCACTGGAAGCTGCAGAGGCGGCCGCCGCGCTTCAGCAGCGCCAGGGGCTGCACTTCCTAGAACCCTCATAAAGGGTTAAGGGGTTAGGATTAAGGGTTTAGCGTCCAGGGATTAGGGTCAATGGTTTAATCATCAACCCTAAACCCCTGCCCCTAAGCCCTAAACCCTTCACACTAAACTCTTAATCCTAAACCCTCAACCCTAAACCCTTGACCCTAAACCCTTAACCCTTGATCCTAAACTCTCAACCCTAAACCCTTGACCCTAACCCTTAACCCTAAACCCTCAACCCTACACCCTTGACTCTTAAACCTTCTCCCTAAACCCTCAACCCTAAACCCTCGACCGTAAACCACTGACCCAAAACCCTCAACTGTAAACCCTTGACCCTAAACCCTCAACCCTAAACCCTTAATCCTAAACCCTCAACCCTAATAAGGGTTTAGGGTTAAGGGCTTAGAGTTTCTTGGACTGTTAGGGAGACTCACAAGGTAGCTTAGTGCCGAGGGTTCAGGGTTGAGAGTTTGGGGGTTTAGGGTCAGGGAGGTGCTATATGCTTGGTGTTTGTTGGTGCATGATGTGAGGGGTTGCATGCTTGCGAGTACATGTGAGCGGATGACTGCACTTAAGAAGTGCCCCTTCAACCCAAGCATGTGTCTAGGCATTATCTATGAGGTGTGAAAGGCTGTGTTGCTGCCAGATATTAGTTCATAGGAGAGATTGAGGAGCCCGCAAGGCATACTTGATCCGAGTTCACAAGCGGGTCTCCCAATACCTGGGGATCATCTCGGGAGTCCTCATAATAAGGAAGATCGTATATTGGGCTATATTGGGGTCCCCTATGTCACGAAACTGCCACAAATGCAACGGTCACATCTAGATTCGAACATTGGGTTCGATCAGTTGCGGCCTGTTGTCCTGCTGCGGCTTTTCAGGGACAACATGAACTCTTCGGAGTACTTGGGAACAGTTTGACCTGAATCCTACGAAGCAGCAAAAATCATAATTGTTGCCAGGGTTCCAAGTTCAGCATAGAACATTGGAGACGGAAGATGCTAATCTTAGGCAGACCCCCACCCTTTAATAGTGGCGTAATTAATTGGAAAATGAGCGGGTGCTAAATAAGCACCAGTATTCCTAATTCTTATTATTACAGGGCGGAGGGTCCACCTAACGTAAAAGCTAAGCTTCTACGCTGCAAGTCCAGGCTCTTAGACGCTCTGTGCGAGTCCAATTTCGTTGTTGATGCCTCAGCTGAAGCATCACTGCCACTTGGTAGCAGCTCGACACTGGGCTTAGGGTTTGTCAGGTTTAAGGTCTAGGGTTTAGGGTTTAGGGTTTTGCGGTTTAGGTTTTAGGGTTGAGGGTCTAGTATGTAGCACACTTTTGCTACCCCACGTCAGCCTGCGTTTCAGCACGGTTGCCACTTCCCACTCACAGCGTTGTTGCTTGAGTTGAGAGCAGTTGCTCTTGTTTCCGCATTCACATGCCCTGGCACCACCCTGAACCCTAAACCCCTAGAACCTCAACCCTCATCATGTCCTCAGCACCGACCCCAGGCCGCACTCCTCTACCCAGCGTCACTGGCAAACCGAGGCATTCTGTGACAGTGGCTGCAGAAGGCCTTGTTGGGGAGCTATTTGGTCCAAGCTTTTGGGCTTAACTCCTAAGGCCTATAGAGACCTTCTCCATGGTCCTGAGAACCCCTAAGCCCTAAAACCTCAAACCCTGACTCCTCAATAAGCTCTGAACCCTAAACCTAAGCCCTAAACCCCTAGCCCCAGAACCTTAAACCCTGAACTCTAAACCTGACACCCTAAGCCCAAAACCTTAAACCCTGAACCCTAAACCCGAAACCCTAAGCCCCAAAACCTTAAACCCTGAACCCGAAAGCCGAAACCTTTAACCCTAAAACCTAGACCCTGAACCCGAAACCCGAAACCCCAACAGATCATCCAGAAGGCGTGGCCCAAGCTCTCACAAGCGAGGATCGGCAGGGTGTCAGAGGGTTCATAAGGCCAATGTAAAGGAAGGTGGGCTTTAGGGCTCAAGGGGTTAAGGGTTTAATGTGTGTTGCCCTTAATTCTTATATAATCCCTTATAACGCCATAAGAATCTAATCTTCACAGGGCCTCCAAACCAACCCAATTTTGGCTTCGGTACCATGCAGTTTTTGGCTGTTTAGAAACCCAATAAGCAAGATGAAGCTGTGGTTTTGTAGCATATCCCGCTAAGGAACTAGTCAAGGGGGACCACAACATTCTACCAATCAGGTCCATAAAGGTACAGCGTCTAGCTTTTACAGCGGTCTGAGGGCGGATCCACACGACGTTTCTCACCTGCTTGCTCTTCAACGGAAACTAAACCCTATACCTTGGGTACTGCCCCCACTCTGTAACAGTTGGATACTACTTATAACGTAGTTATATATGGCCCTTAACATGACCCCTCACATAGACCGTTACAGGGTAGGGGCAGCACCCAACCTCAACCCCAACCGCGAGTTGGAAGTTGTCTACCACAGCTACAGACACGCAGAACGCATGAAGTGTAGAGTGTCTCAGATCTCAAGGATGGCGGAGGCCACGTGAGCTGTAGTCTAGGCTCCTTACAGGGGGTTATATAGGGTTTAGGATTCAGGGTTTAGGGTTCAGCGTCTAAACTCCTAAAAGGGAGTTAACTAGGAGATGGTACAGGGGAGTATTATAAGGTTTTTTTTTTTTTTTTTACGGGGATGCTAGGAGTTTAGA